GATTCCTTCCCAGGGCAGTCATCTCTTCTACCTGCGGTCTAGCCAGGGTCAAAATTTAACAACTGTTGCATGGTAGAGAGCATGTATGAGTAAATTCATGTGTGCAGTGTAATCCAAAGTTCTCTTTTATTAGAGAGGATTTTTAATCAACCAGATTAAGAGCATGCCAAGAAGGAGTATCCATTTTGATACCTCGCAATGTGTGGAAATAGAAAAATAATTGAAAGATGAGAATGCAGCCATGTTTAAAAGTTGGCTCGTTCACCAGCCACTGATTTGATAAACTTCCATCAAGTTAACTAACTTCAAAGCTTTCTAAGCTTACTGCTTCGTGATATTGCTAATGAAACAAGTATGTGTCTGGTTGTTTACTGAGCTATATTTTCCCCAGCTTCCTGAATGAAAACTTATTCCTTTACATATTAGCATTATAGAAGATCCAGTTCTTATGGTTTTACATCAGTTTAGTATTTTATTAGCTTGTATTTATGAATTTGGAAATGGTAATATCACTATTTGAACTCTCCTTCCCATACTGATTTCTATGTGTATTTTTGAAAACAGAAAAATTAGCAGGAAAAGATAGAAATAGTTTCAGGATGGGAAAGTCTGTTCTCCCTAGCACATTTTAATTCATTTCATTGAATGTTCATGGCCAGACTAGGTATAACTGTGAGGTAGGTCATATTTATCTTTAGGGGTTTTGTCTTGCAGGACCACGCTTCTCTTTGGTCTAAATATTTCCTGGGTACCTAGTATATCCCCATAGCATTTTCACCAGCCCTTACCTCCTTAATGGCATCAGCTTTTACCAAAGGTCTGTTGGAAAGCCTTGTTAAATTAAAATAAATACCAATTATTTCCTCAAATTGCAATAAGTACAGCAAAATTCCCAAAGCAAGGGGATGAAACCTAAAAGTATAGAATTATTTTAAAAAGCATAAAAATTTCTTAGAGAAAGTAGAGAATTTCAGGTTTTAAATGGAGGAGGGGATTCCACTTTAAAGTTGGAAGCCTTCCTAGGTATTCTCAAATCACATAAGGGCTACATTCTCATCCTATATGAAAAGCTGGTGCTGCAAGTTTTCATGACTGCTCAGACTGAGCTAATTGTTATAAAAGACAATTCCTGAATCAGAAGAGTGTATATAGACAAGGGTGCCCAAAAAGTGTATACACATTTTAAGAAAGGAAAACTGTATTAAAACTGTAATATTCAATATATACCGATAACAAAAGAGGAATACAAGTCACGTTTGACTTCTGCAATTACAAGACATGCTCAAAGTGGTTGCCATCAGTGTCCAGGCATTTCTGATTATGGTGAACTACTGCTTGAGCAACGTCAACCAAAGTGTCCACTTGTCCCCCAGTGTGTGTGTGTGTATGTATATACATACATACATACATACATACACATATACATATATACATACATACACATATACACACATATATGTATATATATTTATATATAACTGTTTATAAATAAACTGTGACATTTCAAAACATGTTCTAAATATTTAACTTGAAAGAAGGCATACTTTCATTAAGAGTGAGAAACAGACTAAGTAAAAAGTAGGAATCAATGACAAGCTTTCAGGGCTCAAAGAATACCTGTTAACAAATGTTTGTACATCAACATGGATACCCTAACTGAACGGATAGTTTGGTCTTTTTTTATGCATGGAACAAGAACTCCAATGGAAGGTAGTCTGTTTTTTTGTTGTTGTTGCTCTTACTTTAAAAAGGAAAGAAAAAATGAGAGAAAATTGCCTTATAGTTTTAAAAAAGTTATGCCAAGGGACTAAATTCACTCCAGAGGTAAATAATAGGTTCAGGAGACAAACATACACACCCAAAAGTATTCATAACATAGGTAAGCCAGTGGGAAAAGAGCCACCCAGAACAATCCTTGAGAGTTAAGAAATTTTTCTGAAAAATTAAAAAACAAATTAAGGGGTGTTTATAATAATATATATTACAAATGTGCTTACATTTCTTCAAATCTCTAAGAGTTACCTCTTAGTTCCTATTATAGTTTAATTATGTAGTAATTTATATTATTTTAACAAAGCGCTTTTAGGTGTAGAACTGAAGAAGTATGACACTCGGGACTTAGGTGATGATTCTTTGGCCCTGGTGGGGAAGGCAAAGTGAAAGGTAGATCCAGCCAGGAGACCTGTGAACTCTCCTGAGCCGGAGAGAATCTGAGTCATCATCTAAACCAGAGCGAGAGCATCAAGGCAAAAAGTCTGGATGCAAAGACCATGGAGTCTGCTATTTATAAACTGCTAACTGTGTGGGGAGAGCTAAGCTGCGGGTGGGAGAAGGTGACCCTGACAGTTCTGCAGGGCTGGGTAAGGCACAGCAGCCATTTTCTCTCAGCTATTCACTGTGGTGAGAGCCTGATGGTACCACATACTAGCACCACAGCCCTCCTGTGGCAACTCTAAATTGCAGGCATAGTGCCTAAATTGGGATAATGGGCCTCTAAAGGTCTGGCCTAGAATTTCCAACCCTATTAAATGAAAGTAAACAGAACAAAAGCCAAAAAGAAGTCTTGAGACTCATCATCTGGTCTAGAAACCAGTGAAGTGTTATTGGTGGAACATATAAGCACTTAACTTTTAATATGAAAAAAGAAATCAGAGAAAAGTATGGATAGCCAAATCACCCAGTTTATCTTTTAAAGGAGAATTCTATCCATTAGCAATTTATCTTGGGGCAAGTTACAAAGAAATGACAAGCACACTGAAAATAGAGTTTATATTGTACAAAGTTTTGCCCGTCCTTCATGTTCTTCCAAAGAATTTAGTAGACTATAACCAGTAAAATAAACATCTGTTGAGTGACCAAGTCAATGATTGAGTGAATAATTAAAATGATGAATTGATCAATGACCAAGCCTATTTTCCTAGGCCTCAGCTACAGATAAAAATATATTCTGCCCAACAGCTATGCATAACCCCTTAATCTCTATTTAATTCAGACATGGCGAAGGAGTGGTTATATAAGTTGCCTCCAGGGCTCACCGTGGTCATTTCTTAAACTGTTCATATATGCCTGGTATTCTGACAAATGACCAAAGCAGTGCTTTCACAGGGCACCGGTGACTGCCTCATGCTAAATTCAAACCCTTTATTTCAGTCAGTCCACACCCAGCTTGCTGACACAGACCACAGAATGGAACACAGCTGCTTAAATCTTCAAATCTGTGCGATGGTAGTCCTACGAATCTTAAGATATAATTGAAGTGTGCTTGAAATGCAAATTACTTTATTTTTTTAACTTAATATAATATCTATTTTTAGTCCCCCTTCTGATTGATTGGTTTGTGAAAATGTAATCTCAACCAATTTGGGACAGCCTTGTCTACCACTTGAGGGCCACTCTTAGATGTTCCAGCAATCCTTAAGCCCACCTCGGTCCCTGTTTGTCACATCACACACACATTTCTTCTCTGAGCTTTATCCAGGAAGCAAGTCAAAAAAGCCTTTGTACTTCAATCCTATAAAATAGGGGTCATGTCATCTGCCCTGGGGATCACCTGAGAGGGAAGGAGATTGTCTTGTTTTCTCAGGGTCCTATAATGTCTGATTACGACTTTCTTCCACTGCTTCTCCCTAATTATCACCTGGAGAACCATTAGTAGGTTTGGGAGAAGTCTCTTTGTGTTTACTTAGAGTAAACATAGTTTCCCCAACTATTGTCTATGCCATTATGTTCAAATGACTATTTTGAAACTCAAAAGCCAAGAATCAATTTGCTTTTTGCTTTCTGTTGTATTATAACTACTCTATAGGCATGAGTGCATCTTTTATTTTTTGTAAATTCCTCTGAAAGTAAAACTGTTATAAAGGGTTTAATGATGCATACATAACAATAGTGCCTTCCAGAAAAATTGGGCCAATTTTTGTTAAATTACTATTAGTGTATGCGAGTTCCATTTTCCTACATCCTTGTCAATATACTGTATTTTAAAATACATATTTACCATTTTTAAATTAAAAGTGAAATATTTTGTGTTTATCTATATTTGTTGATTAGGGAGCTTTAGCATTCTTTCATAGGTTTATTGGACATTGTTAAAAATTATTATTTGTCCATGAATTCACTTGCCCATTTTGCTTAGGTCTTTACTGACTTGTAAGATATTTTCATTGGAAGAATATTAACAAATTCTCATATATTGAAAATATTTTTTATGGTTTGTTATTTGACATTTTTATAGTGTGTGAGAAATAGAAACACAACTTTTAAAACTGATTTTTGTGATTTTTTTTTCCCTTTGGCATTTTTACTTAAGTATTCCTTTTTCATTACAAAATGATGAATGTTTGCCTATGTTGTACATTAGTTGCTTTATGGTTTCATTTTTACATTTAAAGTTTTAATCAATCTGTTATATTTAGCATTGACTATGAGATTGGGGTCTACATTATTCTGTCATTTAATTATTATTTGTTCCAGCACCATTATTTAATGATCTTTTCCCTCTTTGGTCTACATTCCACATTTATCATATAATAAAAGTTACAGATGATGGATCTGTTCTGTCTCTTACTACACCAATAAAACACACACTACTTTACTCATGGTAGATTCTTAATAAGTTTTAATATCTGATAGGGACAATCACCTCTAATTACTATTTTTAAATTGTTTTCAAAAACTTCTGGAAGAGTATATTTACTCTTCCAGATAAAATTTAGAAATCATATTCTAAATGTTAGCATGGTTTTTTAGGCCTTTGTCATTTCTCACTCTCCTAAATGAACCCCCATTCAATCCATCTGTACCTTTAGTGCAGCCTAACTTGCTTATATTAATAGGTCAACTACATAAGTGATAAATAATGATGATGGTAATAAATCCCATTTGCCATGCCTTCTTGGAATTTCAGTTTGGGATTTTAATATGATCCTAATTGCAGATTTGTCTCTCAGGGAAAAGAACATGGGAACTCTTTCCCTTAAGAAATGTCCCTGTCTTTTCAGAGTGTGGAAGGAGAACACCACGAGAAAGCTGTGGAGCTACTCAAGGCTGCTAAGGACAGCGTCAAGCTGGTGGTTCGATATACCCCGAAAGTCCTGGAAGAAATGGAGGCTCGCTTTGAAAAGCTACGGACAGCCCGGCGCCGGCAGCAGCAGCAATTGCTAATTCAGCAGCAGCAACAGCAGCAGCAGCAACAAACACAGCAGAACCACATGTCATAGGTGAGAAGCGCCTTCATCCAGGCAAGGAAAGTCTCTTACACATGTCAGCTTATTTTTTAAAAAAAATATATTGTTCCTTAGACAGCTGGAACAAAATCATTAGATTTAATATTCCCCCCACCCCCCAAAAAATCAGACAAACAGAATACAATGATCTGAGAAAATGTAAACACAATAGTTGCTTATTTTATGTGTCATTCAGCCATATTCTTGCAAATGTAAGCTATTTTGAAAAATAATATAATTTGGGAGGCCCAGACTATTCAATACAGACTATTGAATGCCTTTATAAAAATTAGGAAAACACAGTCTCTGTGCAAACCCAGATCCTCGGGCACATGGCTGGATGACAAGAGAGGGGGCTGGATTTCAGCCCCCACTCACTCCCTTGGCCCGTTGCCTTTGCCTAGTGTACAATCTAAACAACCATATAGTGCAGATTCTCGGAAGATCCTGAAATGCAGTTTATTGGAAAAACAGTTCCACTTAAAAGAGTGAAGTGGAGACCTGTCAGTGTCCATGCTCTGAGAGCTTTTGAAATCCTCTTTGGATGGTCACTTAGAACGTGTCTAAGATGTACCTGCCTTTTTCTCAACTCTACTTTGTGGCCAAGAATGCTAAATCAGGTTTGCTGTCTATTTTAAAGAAAACTCAAGAAAAAAAGTTGTCAGAGTATGAATCACTATCTTTGAAGTACCTGCTATGTGCTAGGCCCTTCTCACATATTATCCTTGATCCTCAGAAAAACCCTTCAAGTTAAGTATCATTAAAACCCTATTTTTCAGATGAGCAATAGGAAGCTGCAGTAGCGTCAGTGGATTCCCCGCAACCACACTCACAAGTAGGTAGTTCATCTGCCAGCATCAATGATTCTGGCGTTATATAGTTTTCTGACTGTCCTGTGCAAGACGCAGTTCATATTGTTAGATACCTCTACACTATATCTGCAAATGTGTATCTTAAATGAGGTTCAAATGTTCTTGGGAAAATGACAATGGATAATATTTGGTTTTTAACTGATTCAAGATCAGATTATAACTTGCTCAACCTGAAACATTGTATATAACATGAGGCTTTCAATTTTCTGTGACACTTATGATGAGGAGATGCTATATGGGGAAGTAAAAAATGTATGGGATTTGTCCTCGGAATGTCTTGGGAATTCATCCATCTATCTTTATTTTTATAGCCTGCTAATTTTATTATATGTACACATTAGTTTGGTGTCTTTATCAAAAACTCCATTCCATTCGAAAAGCTACATTTATTCAACAATAACTATTTATTTGGCACTACGCAGAGCCAGGTACTGTTCAATGGGTTGTAGAAGCAGTATGAACTAAGTTAAGTCTTTACTCTCATGGTGCTTATGTTCTGGTTGGAGGAGACAGTTAACAAACAAGTCAATACAAATATCCTTCTGGGACCAGTCCATTAAAGAGTTAAAATAGGGTGCTTGGATAGAAATTGGCTAGTTGATGACTTACAATTCGGGGATCAAGGGAGACCCCTCAAAAGACTGACATTAAAGCTGAGATTGAAAGACAAGGAAAAGCCAGGAAATGAGCGTAAGAGGAGGAAACAGCCAGTGCAGTAGAGGAATAGAAAGAAAGCTGGGGTAGTTAGGGAACTATGAGTAAGAAGGACAGTGAGATAGGCAGGGGCCAGGTCACAGAGAACTTTTTAAACCATTGAGGAAAGTTAGATTCTATTGCAATAGAAGCCACTGAAGGTTTTTAAGCAAAGGAGTGATGACCTAATCTCATATATATTTAAAAAGGTCATTCTGGCTGCTGTGGGGAGAATAGATTATTGCAGGGTAAGAGTGAAAACAGAGACCAATTAGGAGGCTAATGTTTAGTAGTCCCGGCAAGAGATATGGTGGCTTGGACGGGGGTGATATTTGTTGAGATGGATGCTTATGCACAAGTCATTTTGTCCATATCCTTTCCTCTCTTATGCATTCTGAATGTATAGGTACTTTCAGAATCCTTTCAATGATCTTCTTGCTAATAATAAAAATCCACTATTCTTTAGTCAAACATTGACACTCTTTCCACTAACTCATTTTTTTTTCTTCCATCCTCAATATTACACACTTGTACCAATTCTCTTAATTGATATACCACATTGGCCCATAGTAAAATTCTTCTTAAGTGTTTTAGAAATATGTTGCCATTCAGACTCCTGTGGTTTTACTAAAAACTGCTAATATCATGCTCATTCAATCATCTTTGGAAGTTGGCCATAAATATTTGGTGGGCCATGTACTCAATCCTGTTTCTCTGTTCCATCAGCCTTCATTAAATCACTTCAGAATTTCCTATTGTCTCATCACCAAAGAACAACATTTTTAATAAAAGGCATTTACAAACTATGTTGTTTTTTCCTTGCACAGAGTATGGTAAAGCTCTATTTAAGTGAACATGAAAGTTATATTTATGCGTACCAAGACAACACATGCAACCAACGTGATCATGGCCCCTTGAGATGAAAGTGTAGGGACCATTTCAAGTACTAGCAAAATACAACCAAGTCATGTCATCCATGGATTTTATGGTGAATTCAGTCAAGGAGACCTGCATTAACTCTTGTTCAACTTTTAATTAATTAGATTTTAAGGACTAAATGAGATTTGTTACACTTGCTAAGTCATACTGTGGTTGCTTTTACCAAAGAGATTTGAAGCTAATTTGACCTATTTCTTCGAATAGATTTCTGATTTTTTTTTTAAGTTTGAGAAGCCAAGCAAAACCAGGTAAAGCAAAATACTTGTCAGATATTAAGTTATTGTTTACACATGAAATATAATTTCTATTCTTTAAATTAAAAATAACTTTTTTTTTACCTGAGATGGTATAAATTATAAAGTAATTAGCAAGGGTAAATTCTGGATACAAATGGAAAATAGGTTGAATGCAGGTAATGTGTACAGAGTGTCTCTTATGCCTACTTCTAATTTTAAACTCTCCTGAAGTAAAATTCAAATGTCTCCTAACTTCCATGTTTGATAATCAGGAAGTCTAGATTACATTTTCTAAAATGCAGTAGATATGATCACTATGTAATTGTATTACAGAAATCTATAATAAGAATAGATTCTTATACTCACTTTCTTTGAGAAAGAGTGTTATGTTTATTCAGCTTTAAACATCTCGTTGTTTAAGGTGTGATTTTATATACAGCAAGTCCCCGACTTACGAACATTCGAGTTTTGAACTTTCACAGATACAAATGAACCTCACATCACGAACATTTGTAGATGCGAACAAATCGTGGAAGTAGCTCGTGTGTCTGCCGGACATTGTCACAGTTGTGCTGCTGTGTGCTTACTGTACAGTGCGATAGTGTACAGTAGTACAGTGCTCAGTCAGAGCCCAGGATGTCCAGAAGCAAGAGGAAAAGCAGTGGTGGTGTGGAGGGGACTGCTAGGAAGCGCAAAGCAATAACCATAGAAACAAAAGTGAAAATAATTGACAGATTGGACCGAGGCAAAAAGATGGTAGATGTCACTTGTTCTTATAACATGAACTATTCAACCATTTGGCTTTACATTGTATATTTGTGTCAAAGGTGTATTAATACTCACTTTGTCAGACTTACGAACAAATCCAACTTAACGAACGTTCTCCTGGAACAGAACTTGTTCGTAAGTTGGGGACTCACTGTACATACATGTTTCACCTAGATTCACAAAGAATAAAAGTAGGAAGGAAGAGGAATATTTTTTGAGATGTCAACATTTTGAGGAAGTCCAGACCAAAAGCCTCTTAACCTCTTATTGCTGGATCTAGGGTGGGGAATTCATTTATATTCAAAACCAGGCTGGATCTTAGCAGATTTACAAAGCAGCTGTCGTTTGCCAGTGGCATAACCAACTTCCTTTTCCGCCTGCTCTTCAGTCCGCCATTTTATCCAGTACTGACTGTTCTGTACCTTCCACCACCACTGCCACAGCCATGGGCCCAGTGATCTGACCCAGGGAACCACTGCCAGGTCCCAGAGGATACTTCTGTCACTGCCAGGTCCCAGAGGATACTTCTGATAAAACTGAATCCAAGGAATCCAGAGTTACCAGGCTGAAAACTGGACCAGAAATAATAATCATAATGCTGCATAAAATGTATGAAACAATTAGGCTGTGCTACGCACTCTTAAAAGCTTCATATATATTAAATTGCTTAATCTTCATAATAATTCCTTGAGTATGAGGAAGTATTTTCAATCTCATTTGAAAGAAAGAAACTGAGTCATGCATGATTTTTTAAAAGTGCACATGCCATTTCACAGCTGGTAAGTGATAGGGCAGTAATTCAAACCAGAAACCTGGGCTTCAAAGCCTCTTTCTTTTAACCACTTTGTGAATCTGCCTCTTACTTCAGTGGCACCTGCCCTTATATTCCCCTATTCCTCTTCACAGACGCGTTCACATGAACTTTCCAGAGTTGTATCCTCACGCTGCTGAGATTTGGAGTTCTCCAACTCACCCTCGCTGCTTAACACCAAAACAGTACCCCATACTTCAAAGTACTTCATCATCACAGCCGTATTAGTGTCCCCTTGCTGCCCTAAAAAATGACCACAAATTTTGTGACTTAAAAGAACACAAATTTATTATGTTATAATTGTAGGACAGAAGTCCAACACAGCCTCACTGGG